AGTCAAGAAAATGTTTCATCTGATATAGTCCCATTTTTCTATTTTAGGGACTATTGTGTGTGCTTTGGGAGTCTTTCTTTTTTAAGAATTTTTGCCTACCCCAGTGCTTCCCAGAGTCTCTTCTGTATTTTCACCAGTAATGTAACACTTTGAGGTCTTAGGTTCAGATCTTTGAACTGACATTTGTTAATGGTGAAAGATGGGGATTCAGTTTCATCTTTCTGCAGGTGGAACCCAATTTTTCCAGCCCCATTTTCTAAAGAGATTTTCTTTTTCTCATTGAAATGACTGATATCCTTCATCAAAAATCAGCTTTAATTTCTGGGGTCTCTATTCCATTGGTAAACCTGACTTCTTTTTGTGCCAGTACCATGCTGTTTTGATTGTCACTGCTTCATGGTGTATTTTGGGTTTAGTGAGTGAGATGTTGTCCATCCACTCTTCTTGTGCATGATTGCTTTTTCAATACAGGGTCTTTTGTGATTCCAGATAAGTTGTATGATTGTCTTTTCTAGATCTGTGAAGAAAGTGGTCTGGTATTTTGACTGGAATTTTGTTGAATGTGTAGACGATGTTGGGGAGAATCACCTTTTCAATTATATTAATTCTACCACTCCAGAACATGGGATATACTTTGACTTTTTTGTGTCATTTCAATATCTTTTTAAAAGTTTCATAGTTTTCTTTGTAAAGATCTTTTACTTCTTTTGTCAGATTTATCTCTTGGTATCTTATACATTTATACATTTATACATTTTGTGGCTGTTGTAAAAGGGATTCCTTTCTTCAGATCTACCTCATTTAATTTGCTGTTCATATGTAAAAATGCTATAGATTTTTGGATGTTGATTTTGTATGTAAGCACTGTGTTTGTTTACTACTGCAAGAAGTTATTTCTTGGAAACGTTTGGGGTTTCTAATTATACCATCATGTCATCTACAAATACAGGTATCTTCGATTCTTCTTTGTATATTTGAATGTTCTTGTATTATGGTCGTTTTTGATAACATTAGTGAAGACTTCCAGAACTGTTTTGAAAAGGAGTGGAGAAATTGGGCAGCCTTTACTAGTACCAATGTTTAGTCAAAAAGTTTCAGCTTTTCCTCCTTCAGCATAATGTTAGCCATAGGTTTTTAATGTATGCCTTGTTCTGTTGAGGAATGACCCTTCTATACAAGTTTTGGTAAGAGTCTTAATCATTAAGGGATATTCTATTTTATCAAATACTTTCTCTGTATCAATTGAAATGATAATATGGTTTTAATCTTTCTGTTAATAAGGTGTATTATATTTATGGCCTTGCATATGTTTAACCATCCTTGCATTCCTGGAATAAAGCCTACTTTATCATGATGAATAATCATTTTATATGTTGGATATAATTTTAAAATGTATTGTTGAGAATTTTTGCATGTGCATTAATCAGAGATAGTAGTCTGTAGTTTTCCTTTTTGTAAGGTCTTTATCTGGTTTAGAAATAAGGATGATGGAGGCTTCATAGAATGCATTTTAAAGGGTTCCTTCCTCATGGATCTCTAGAAATAATTTGAATAGAACAGGGGTACGTCTTCTTTAAAAGTTCTGTAAAATTCAGAAATGAAGACTTAAGGTATAGAATGACCTAATATTTTGAATTTCCATTGTGTCTGTTGTAATGTTGCCTGTTTCATTATATAAGTGATTTATGGGTTTTTTAGTCTTTTGAAAGAACAAGCTTTTGCTTTCATTTATTTTCTGTACAGCTCGTTTGTTTTCTGTTTCATTTATTTCTGCTCAAATCTTCATTATTTATTTTCACCTGGCTTTTTTTTTAATTATTGTTTTTCCAATTTCTTGAGGCATGATATTAGGTTGTCTATTTACCACCCTTACATCTTTTTCCTATGCACACCAGTTGCTATAATTTTTCCTCTTATGACTGCTTTTGCAGTGTCATTTAGATTGCGGAAACTTTAATTCCCATTCTGATTATTTGTTTCCATATTTTTTTTTAATTTCAGATGTAATTTCTTTGTTAGTTAAATCATTGAGAAGTATGTTGTTTAGTTTCCGTGTGTTTGTGTATTTTTGAAGATTTTTGTTAAAATTAATAAGTTTAATTCCATCTTTATCAGAGAAGATGCTGAGTATACTTTCTATGCCTTTCAATAAGCCTGCAAAGTCCTTGATCTGTGCCCTATTATATAGTTGATCTCTGATAAGGTATAATGCGAGGGAGAGAAAAATGTGTATTTTGTGATGTTAGGGTATAAAGTTATATAGATGTCTGTCTATATAACAGACAGATATTTGATTTGTATCATTATTTAGGTTCTTATTTCTGCTTATTTTTTTTGTCTAAAAGATCTGCCTAAAGGAAATAATGGGGTATCAAGATCCCAAAAAATTAATAGTGTTGTAACCCATTTCTCCTTTTAGCTCTAGCAGTCTTTTCTTTACATATTTAGGTGCTCCTGAGTTGGGTGCTTAGATAATTATAAGTGTTATGACTTCTTGATGTATTAACCTTCTTTCTAATATATAATGGCCTTCTTTGTCTCTTCATACAGTTTTTGTCCTAAAGCTATTTAGTCTGAAATAACATCACCACTCCAGCCCTTTTGATTTGGATTTGCATGAAATATCTTTTCCAGCCTTTCACTTTATGTCTTTATCCACAAGGTGTGTTTCTTGTAGAAAACAAATAGAGGATTTCTGTTTTTTAACCTATTGAGCAAGTCTGTGTCTCTTGATCAGAGAATTTAATGCACTAAAATTTAATGTTGTTATCAATATTTCCTGACCTTTTTTTTTTTGAAGAGGCTTTTGTAGAGGGTATGTGTGCTCATCAGAAAGAGAGACAGAGAGACAGAAAGCGAGAAATTGCTGGCCATGAAGCAATACCTTCTCCTCCACTCTCTTCTTATGATCTTGGTCATGCATGTACATGTATCTGGTGTGAGTTTAAGCCACCAGGTCTGGGACACAAACCATGGTCGACTACATGGGAGTCCAGCAATATAGCCATTATGCCTACTGCTGGTCCCATCCTGACATGTTTTATCATTAGGTGCCCAATAATCTTCATTGTTTTTTGTTTGCTTTTATCTGTCTCTCTGACATTTTAGTTTTTCTAGTGTAGCATTCCCTTCAGAACTTTATAGTAATCTTTGTCAAAATTGTTTTCACTTAACATTTTAAGTACATTTCCCTATTGGTTCCTTATGTGCATTCTTCTGATGAGATTCCAGTTTTAGCCTGATGGGATAACCTTTGCAAGTAACTTGACGTTTCCTCTTGCCAATTTTTTAGTACTATATCTTTGTGGTTTCAGCAAGTTCAAAGGCAAGGGGGAGGGAATGGATGAGCCACTGGTCCCAGCTGTATAGCCCTCCAGCCACAGGACACTTGCTGAATGTTAAGGCCCTTTGCTGGAATGGGTATCTGGATGGAGCTGGGAGGATCACAAGTTCATTTCAAAGTCCCATGCAACAAACCTTAGAGTCCACAGGTGAATGGCAGAGGGGATGAGTCAGCTCTATAGCCTTTCAACCACCTGCCATAAGACAAGGCCCTTCGCTGGAACAGGTTTCTGGATGGGGTATAGCAGGGCAGAAACCAGAATGATTAGAAGGAATAAAAAGTAGGAAGGGATATACTGGGGTAGGGGAAGTAACTGAGAAGGGTAAGAAAGAGTGAAAACAAAAAAATCATTTGAGACATATGAATGAAAAATTAGATGACAGTGTAGCGAGCCATTGGACAAGTCATCACATATTTTTCTGTTTTTCTATGTAAGAATGTGGCAAGACTTTTCTGACTACCCAGAATGTAGTAATATCTTTAAACTAGTACTCTATGCTTTGAAAAAAAATTTCATATGTTGTACAAATGTACACTGATTAAATAGGAAAATATGTTTAATAATATTTTTAAAAAGAAAGAGAATAAAGAGACAATTTAAAGCTATTTACAAGATTCTATCAGAAAGCCATCAAGGTCTTTAGCCCTGTGCCTGAAATAGTGAATACATGTAACTCCTGACTACTGACTACATTGTCATTACTAGATAAATTTTTATTTTTGTGTCTTTTACATGTTTTTCCCCTGAGTCCCTCTCTCCCATCCCCTATTATTTGTCTCCTCCTGTAGTATTTCTACTATCTACAGTTGCCCTCCCTGATTTATAACTTCCAATATTTTAGTTTCTGTCATAGAGTGCAGATATTAGGTAATATATTAAGTGGGTACATACAAAGCTTGTCTTTTATAGTCTGGTTAGCTTCACTTAGCATTAAATCTTCCATACTTACCTTCTGGCTTAAAGTTATTCCATAATGTATACATGCCACGTTTTTCAATCTGTTCATCTATTCTTGTATTGTATTGATCATTTGTATTGATTTTGTGTCTCAGCAACTGTTAGTAATTTTATAACAAATAAGTTATGCAAGTATCCTCTTTCTTATATTTACAGAGTTTAGGAAATTGAGGTCTTTGTACGTTACAAGTCAGAGAAAGGTTTCAAACAAAGTCATAGCCTGCAGAGACTTACACTGTACTGTCCTCATCATCAAATGTTTCACTCACACATTTGTCCCTTAAGAAGGTAGCACAGCCTACCCAACATTAGTTGCTTTTCTTGATTTTTTTTTTTGAGAGGTTTTCGCTATAGGGCACGTGCGCTCCCCAGACAGACAGAGAGAGACATAGAGACAGAAAGCGAGAAATAACCCCCCAGGGGAAATGGTCACGTTGCAATCCCTTCTCCTACATTCTCCTTTCGGGATCTTGGGCATGCACGTACATGCGCCCGGCGTGAGTTTTAAGCCTGCAGGTCCGGGACGCGAACTGCAGTTGACTACGTGGGAGTCCAGCAACATAGCCATTACGCTAACTGCTGGTTCCCAAGTTGATTTTCTTGATTGAGGGCAGGTATCTTTGAAAGCAGGCACTGTGACAGTGCTTATCTTGGTTCATTGTGCAATGATTTAACAGAGTTCCTCTTTTTTCTCTAAAGCAATTGGTCTTGTATTGCCTGGAGAACAAGATTTGTGATGTGAATCATAGAGACAACGCAGGTTACTGTGCCTTGCATGAAGCTTGTGCAGGAGGGTGGCTTGATATTGTGCAACACCTTCTAAATTATGGTGCTGATGTCAACTGCAGTTCCCAGGATGGAACAAGGTATGTACTATGTCTTCTCAGCTTGCCAGTATAGCATGGCTTATGAAGCATGTAGTATTTGTTGTTGTTGTTTTTTATTTTTTTTTTCCTTTATTTATTTATTTATTTATTTATTTATTTTGGTGTATACTTTCAATCATATTGTTTGGCTTACAATGAGACCATTTCACTATGTGCACATTTCTCCCCAGACCTGTTGATCAGAATATCTTCAGCAGGTAACACCACACCTCCCATCCCATCAATGCTCAACCTCTGTATCCCTTCTCCAAATTTCCTTCGTTAGGACCCACTCCTCCACATTCACCTCATCTAACATTCTTGTGATTGTTCAACCGTTAGTCAATAAGTTTCAGTCATAGAATGCAGACATACGGTATAAGTTAAGTGGGGACATACAGTATCTCTCCTTCATAGCCTGGCTTGCCTCACTCAGTGGTACATCTTCCATATTCTTCCACTTTCTGTCAAAAGCCAGGGTTCTGTTGGTTTTTATGGCTGAGTAGTATTCCATAGAGCATATGTGCCACAGTTTTTCAATCCATTTCTCCATACAGGGGCATCTGGGTTGGTTCCATGCCTTAGCTATTGTGAATAGTGCCGCAATAAACATCGATGTCCAAGCACTTTTCCAATGAAGAATTCTTCTGTCCTTTGGGTAGATACCAA